GTGACTAGCCAGATGAGTCTGGGACTGGGATGATGACTAGCCAGGTGAGTCTGGACGGGGATGGTGACTAGCCAGGTGAGTCTAGATGGGGATGGTGACTAGCCAGGTGAGTCTGGACGGGGATGGTGACTAGCCAGGTGAGTCTGGACGGGGATGGTGACTAGCCTGGTGAGTCTGCACGGGGATGGTGACTAGCCAGTTGAGTCTGGACGGGGGTAGTGATTAGCCAGGTGAGTCTGGGCGGGGATGGGATAGCCAGGTGATCTGGATGGGGATGTTCACTAGCCAGGTGAGTCTAGATGGGGATGGTGACTAGCCAGGTGAGTCTGGATCGTTGATGGCGATTAAACCAGGGTGAGTCTGGACGGGGATGGTGACTAGCCAAGTGAGTGTGAACGGTGATGGTGACTAGCCAGGTGAGTCTAGATGGGGATGGTGACTAGCCAGGTGAGTGTAGATGGGGATGGTGACTAGCCAGGTGAGTCTGGACGGGTATGATGACTAGCCAGGTGAGTCTGGAGGGGGATGGTGACTAGCCAGGTGGGGTCTGGACGGGGATGGTGACTAGCCAGGGTTTAGTCTGGACGGGGATGGTGTCTAGCCAGGTGAGTCTGGACGGGGATGGTGACTAGCCAGGTTTAGTCTGGACGGGGATGGTGACTAGCCAGGTTAGTCTGGACGGGGATGGTGACTAGCCAGGCGGGGTCTGGACGGGCATGGTAACTAGCCAGGTGAGTCTGGATGGGCATGATGACTAGCCAGGTGAGTCTGGACGGGGATGGTGACTAGCCAGGCGAGCTTGGATGGGGATGGTGACTAGCCAGGTGGTCTGGACGGGGATGGTGACTAGCCAGGTGAGTCTGGACGGGGATTGGTGGACTAGCCAGGTGAGTCTGAACGGGGATGGTGACTAGCCAGGTGAGTCTGGACGGGGATGGTGACTAGCCAGGTGAGTCTGGACGGGGATGGTGACTAGCCAGGTGAATCTGGACTGGGATGGTGACTTGCCAGGTGAGTCTGGACGGGAATGGTGACTAGCCAGGTGAGTCTGGACGGGGATGGTGACTAATCAGGTGAGTCTGGACGGGGATGGTGACTAGCCAGGTGAGTCTGGACGGGGATGGTGACTAGCCAGGTGAGTCTGGACGGGGATGATGACTAGCCAGGTGAGTCTGGACGGGGATGGTGACTAGCCAGATGAGTCTGGACGGGGATGGTGACTAGCCAGGTGTCTGGACGGGGATGGTGACTAGCCAGGTGAGTCTGGACGGGGATGGTGACTAGCCAGGTGAGTCTGGACGGGGATGGCGATTAGCCAGGTGAGTCTGGACGGGGATGGTGACTAGCCAGGTGAGTCTGGACGGGGATGGTGACTAGCCAGGTGAGTCTGGACGGGGATGGTGACTAGCCAGATGAGTCTAGATGGGGATGGTGACTAGCCTGAGTCTGGATGGGGATGGTGACTAGCCAGGTGAGTCTGGACGGGGATGGTGATAGCAGGTGAATCTGGACGGGGATGGTGACTAGCCAGGTGAGTCTGGGCGGGGATGGTGACTAGCCAGGTGAGTCTGGACGGGGATGGTGACTAGCCAGGCGAGTCTGGACGGGGATGGTGACTAGCCAGGCGAGTCTGGACGGGCATGGTAACTAGCCAGGTGAGTCTGGACGGGCATGATGACTAGCCAGGTGAGTCTGGACGGGGATGGTGACTAGCCAGGTGAGCTTGGATGGGGATGGTGACTAGCCAGGTGAGTCTGGACGGGGATGGTGACTAGCCAGGTGAGTCTGGACGGATATGGTGACTAGCCAGGTGAGTCTGGACTGGTATGGTGACTAGCCAGGTGAGTCTGGACGGGGATGGTGACTAGCCAGGTGAGTATGGACGGGGATGGTGACTAGCCAGGTGAGTCTAGATGGGGATGGTGACTAGCCAGGTGAGTCTAGATGGGGATGGTGACTAGCCAGGTGAGTCTGGATGGGGATGGTGACTTGCCAGGTGAGTCTGGACGGGAATGGTGACTAGCCAGGTGAGTCTGGACGGGGATGGTGACTAGCCAGGTGAGTCTGGACGGGGATGGTGACTAGCCAGGTGAGTCTGGACGGGGATGGTGACTAGCCAGGTGAGTCTGGACGGGGATGGTGACTAGCCAGGTGAGTCTGGACGGGGATGGTGACTAGCCAGATGAGTCTGGACTGGGATGATGACTAGCCAGGTGAGTCTGGACGGGGATGGTGACTAGCCAGGTGAGTCTAGATGGGGATGGTGACTAGCCAGGTGAGTCTGGACGGGGATGGTGACTAGCCAGGTGAGTCTGGACGGGGATGGTGACTAGCCTGGTGAGTCTGCACGGGGATGGTGACTAGCCAGTTGAGTCTGGACGGGGATAGTGATTAGCCAGGTGAGTCTGGGCGGGGATGGTGACTAGCCAGGTGACTCTGGATGGGGATGTTCACTAGCCAGGTGAGTCTAGATGGGGATGGTGACTAGCCAGGTGAGTCTGGACGTTGATGGCGATTAACCAGGTGAGTCTGGACGGGGATGGTGACTAGCCAAGTGAGTGTGAACGGTGATGGTGACTAGCCAGGTGAGTCTAGATGGGGATGGTGACTAGCCAGGTGAGTGTAGATGGGGATGGTGACTAGCCAGGTGAGTCTGGACGGGTATGATGACTAGCCAGGTGAGTCTGGAGGGGGATGGTGACTAGCCAGGTGAGTCTGGACGGGGATGGTGACTAGCCAGGTGAGTCTGGACGGGGATGGTGTCTAGCCAGGTGAGTCTGGACGGGGATGGTGACTAGCCAGGTGAGTCTGGACGGGGATGGTGACTAGCCAGGTTAGTCTGGACGGGGATGGTGACTAGCCAGGCGAGTCTGGACGGGCATGGTAACTAGCCAGGTGAGTCTGGATGGGCATGATGACTAGCCAGGTGAGTCTGGACGGGGATGGTGACTAGCCAGGCGAGCTTGGATGGGGATGGTGACTAGCCAGGTGAGTCTGGACGGGGATGGTGACTAGCCAGGTGAGTCTGGACGGGGATGGTGACTAGCCAGGTGAGTCTGAACGGGGATGGTGACTAGCCAGGTGAGTCTGGACGGGGATGGTGACTAGCCAGGTGAGTCTGGACGGGGATGGTGACTAGCCAGGTGAATCTGGACTGGGATGGTGACTTGCCAGGTGAGTCTGGACGGGAATGGTGACTAGCCAGGTGAGTCTGGACGGGGATGGTGACTAATCAGGTGAGTCTGGACGGGGATGGTGACTAGCCAGGTGAGTCTGGACGGGGATGGTGACTAGCCAGGTGAGTCTGGACGGGGTTGATGACTAGCCAGGTGAGTTGGACGGGGATGGTGACTAGCCAGATGAGTCTGGACGGGGATGGTGACTAGCCAGGTGAGTCTGGACGGGGATGGTGACTAGCCAGGTGAGTCTGGACGGGGGATGGTGACTAGCCAGGTGAGTCTGGACGGGGATGGTGACTAGCCAGGTGAGTCTGGACGGGGATGGTGACTAGCCAGGTGAGTCTGGACGGGGATGGTGACTAGCCAGGTGAGTCTGGACGGGGATGGTGACTAGCCAGGTGAGTCTGGACGGGGATGGTGACTAGCCAGGTGAGTTTACACTTTTTTTTCTGAAATATTCTTAATTCACTATTTCCATTATTATTATTATTATTATTATTATTATTATTATTGTTATTATTATTATTATTATTGTTATTATTATTATTATTATTATCATTATTATTATTATTATTATTATTATTATTATTATTATTATTGTTATTATTATTATTTTTTATTATTATTATTATTATTATTATTATTATTATTATTATTATTATTATTATTATTATTATTATTATTATATTGTTAATATCGTAATTATTATTATTATTTTTATTATTATTATTATATTGTTAATATTATTATTATTATTATTATTATTATTATTATTATTATTATTATTTTTATTTATTGGAAACGCTAAAGCAGTAGGGGTCGTAGAGTGTCTCGGGAATAGGAAACAATCAGGTTCCATTAAAGGAATTATAGAAAAAGATCAATGCCTTGGATCAAGAGCTTCTCAGCAGCATCAAGGAACCTCCCTTGAGTGGCCTTGATGGTTATCTGGAGTATACCTGGAGAGGGTTGTGGGTGTCAACCCCCCCGCGACCCGGTTTGTGACCAGTCTCAATCTTAGTCACCTTGACGCTGCGAAAAAAAATTTTCTATCGATTTTTACTCCTTCGAAAAAAAAAATATTTCAGATTTTTTAATATAGTTAAGTAAACAATGTTGTGTATGTGTGTACTCACTTATTTGTGGTTGCAGGGGTAGAGTCATAGCTCCTGGCCCCGCCTCTTCACTGGTCGCTACTAGACCCTCTCTCTCTCTCTCTGCTCCATGAGCTATATCATTCCTCGTCTTAAAGCTATGTATGGTTCCTGCCTCTACTACGTCACTTGCCAGACTATTCCACTTCCTGACAACTCTATGACTGAAGAAATACTTCCTAACATCCCTTTGACTTATCTCGTTCTTCAATTTCCAATTATGACCCTATGTTTCTGTCCCATCTCTGGAACATCCTGTCTCTCCACCTTGTCAATTCCTCTCAGTATTTTATATATGGTTATAATGTCTCCCCTGACCCTCCTGTCCTCCAGTGTCGTCAGGTTTATTTCCCTTAACCTTTCTTCACAGGACATTTCCCTTAGCTCTGGGACTAGTCTTGTTGCAAACCTTTGCACTTTCTCTAATTTCTTGACGTGTTTGACCAGGTGTGGATATGTGTTTGTGTGTGTGTGTGCGCGCGCGCTCATATGCATATCATAAAAGCTAAGGTGTAGTTATATATATATATATATAATATATATATATATATATATATATATATATATATTATATATATATATATATATATACACACACACACATTTTCTTTTCTTCCTTCATTCTGTGAGTGTTGGCGGTCGTATAAGTTTTCTTCCTGACCTCCAGGAGGCAGACATAGCTCTAGGACCCTTCGTGATGTCTGAGGCGCGGGCCGCCGTGGTAGACTTGTCCATGCCTGTGGTGTTGGACTATCTAAGACTGCTGAGTGTCCGTGGCAAGCCCCAGGTCAACCCCTGGGGGTTGTTCTTACCTTTCCGCCCGCTGGTGTGGGCGGGTATGGCTGGGGCGCTGCTGGTGGCGTGGGCGGCCTCGGTGTTAGTAATGATGCAGCCGTGGGTGTCCCTGGCTTCACGCCATCACATGGCTTCATGGAGACCCTACAGGATCTTTTTCGAACACATTCGGGCACTCCTGCAACAAGGTCAGTGCTTTGTCTATCATGTCTGTGGTCACAGGCGTCTGGGAATCACTTCTCAAGTGAATAACAGAGTAAAATGTTACTGGGATATTCACTTGGTTATTCACAGGATTCAGGTACCACTGAAAAATAATAATGCTGAAACTATTTTTTTTTTTTTTTAGATATTTGTAGGAACAGTACATTATGTTCAGTATTTAAATCACTAAACCGACGGTTTAAACCCTCAGTTCGGTGAGTTTACAATCATGGTATCACGTCTTCGCGAGGTATCTAGTTAATGGTAGTAGCTTCAGAATATAGCCATGGGGGTTAGATACCAAACCAGGTAGAGCAGCAAAATATAAAGCGTCCATCTGTATCAACTATGGCTTTTTCTGGCGGATATAGACTGTGAACTGCGGTGTTTCTGGGGCTGGGAGAGGCTGGTGTTCGCGTCGTGGTTGATGGTGACTAACGTGTTGCTCTGGAGTTACGGTGGTAACCTGACGTCGCTGCTGGCGGTGCGGTCTGTGCCTCAGCCCCTGCAGACCCTGGCAGACCTCCTGGTACACCCCTCCATCATCGCTGTCTTCGAGCAAGACACAGCTTACAGTCAGCTCCTAAAGGTGGGCTGGGTGTTGAGCTGGGTGGTGGGCTGGGTGGTGGGCTGGGTGATGGGCTGGATGGTGGGCTGGGTAATGGGCTGGGTGGTTGGCTTGGTGGTAGGCTGGGTGGTGGGCTGGGTGATGGGCTGGGTGGTGGGCTTAGTAGTGGGCTGGGTGGTGGGGTGGGTGGTGGGGTGGGTGGTGAGCTGGGTGATGGGCTGGGTGGTGGGTTGGGTGGTAGGTTTGGTGGTGGGCTGGGTGGTGGGCTGGGTGTGGGGTGGGTGGTGAGCTGGGTGGTGAGGCTGGGTGGTGCTCTGGGTGGTGGCTGGGGGTGGGCTGGGTGGTGGGCTGGGTGGTGAGCTGGGTGGTGAGCTGTTAGGTGGGCTGGGTGTTTGGCTGGGTGGTGGGCTGGGTGGTGCTCTGGGGGTGGGCTGGGTGGTGGGCTGGGTGATGGGCTGGTGGTGGGCTGGGTGGTGCTCTGGGTGGTGGCTGGGTGGTGGGCTGGGTGGTGGGCTGGGTGGTGAGCTGGGTGGTGAGCTGTTAGGTGGGCTGGGTGATGGGCTGGGTGGTGGGCTGGGTGGTGCTTTGGGTGGTGGGCTTCCCAGTCACCAGTTTAATATACATTAACATATTTTAACAATGTTTTGCATCAGATTTCTGAACTTCAGTTCTGTCATTCCATAATTTTAACACGAACACACCAATAAGGATAATTTGTATGAATATACAGTTTATGTAACACTGATGATGGAAAACTTAGATCCTTGGTGATACAGTTTCTGGGGAAGGTAATCAGGTTTAATCCAAGGAAGGAGAAGGTAGCTCCACTGCTTTAGATAAAGATCCTTTCACCAGTATCCGAGGCAACCTCCTTGAAGGACGACCGTTGTAACTGGTGAAGACTGAGTCAGACTCCTCAGTCTGACTTTCACAGATGCTTGAATACTGGTAAATAAAAACTCTTGGTACAAAGAATCTGAGTTACCCTCCCATTCCTCTTATTAAACCTGAATAACGTCCATTCTCCAGAAGCCTTATGATTCGTACGGGTTTAGTGCTTCTTCATAAATATAATAATAATAATAATAATAATAATAAATGATGAGTTTGAGTGGGTTTTGAGTGACAGAATGCAGAGAGTGGCATCTTCGTGGACCTGGCTCTACTGGAGGAGCAGAAGAGGATCAGGTATGTCAAGACGACAGAGTTCCACAGCGTCGTCACCGACATGAAGAAAGGCGGCGATTATGCTCTTATTATCGAGGAACTGGGCATCAGGAATCTCATGGCTGACGATGTCTCAAAGACAGGTACATCTCTCGTGAATAGAAACGCCTCTTGTGGATAGATACATGTGGGGTCTGTCGGATGCATTACAGTATATTCAGCGTTCATCATACACTCCTTGCATTCCTTCTGTACCAGCTAAACTGACAGTTAAGTTGGAGCAGCTGCACAGGGGCCCCGGCCACACTGATTTATTATCACGTTTATAAGTCAATCAGTTGCATGAGAGCCAAATTTATGCTATGTCTCCACACCTGGCTGGAGGAGGACTCACTGAAGCAAATTCCATTTAGTATCTCACTTTGCTCTCTCGCTCACTAACATTTTGCTCTTCATCTGCACTTTGTTCACATTGAAAATACTGATGGAGGGAATATACGCGCACTCAAAAACAAACCTTTATGTTTGTCTTTGCCTTGGTTTGCTTGATACTGATTTAAGGCCTGTATAAAAGGCCTTTTTCGTGTACCTGTGTTCGTCATAATGCACATCTCGTATCTAGAAGTGTATCTACAACATATTTCGATAGATTCTCCTGTCATTGTTACGTGCTGGTGGCAGGTATGTTAGCACGTAGTAACACATGCTAGCAAGCCTTTCAAGTTTTTTCCAGGTATATTAGCAGTATTGAGAGGTGTCACAAGTGATGGACTTTCACGCAGGTCACTGTGACTTGTACATCTCCCGTGAGAAGATACTTCCCAGCATCAAGAGTATCATCACTTACAAGGACTCTCCGCTGCTTGAGGCATTCAATGTCAGGTCAGTCTCTTCAACTTTTTTAGACAGTATCAGTCAACTCGTCATTACTAATCAGTATCAGTCAACCAGTCCTAGTCAGTTGGGCCTAATTTTACGTCTTTAATCGAACTTAATGTCTCTGGTCAAACCGAATTATTTTATGTTTAGAATCGGGTTCGACGTATCAGATCCAACCGGACACACCTAGTCGAGCAAGATGTTTGAAGTCGATCTGATTAGCTTAAGGTGAACTTGAAGTTAATGAGCAGTAAGAGACTGGAAGACTGTGATGGAACATAATTAGCACATGTGGGACAACAGCGGTGTTGATCTTTTGAGTTTCTGGTATTCCAGGATCCACAAACTCACCACTTCTGGCTTGTACATGCATTGGCTCAAAGAGGCCATGCCCAACTTTACCACCTGCTCCAATCTGCGGCCATCCATCACAGTCCAAGAGCCTATCGCTGTCTCCAATATATGGGTAATAATGCTCTTGGAAAGAAGGATGGGTGGTTGTGCCCTCTCTCTCTCTCTCTCTCTCTCTCTCTCTCTCTCTCTCCTCTCTCTTCTCTCTCTCTCCCCTCTCTCTTCTCTCTCTCTCTCTCCTCTCTCTCTCCACTCTCTCTCTCTCTCTCGTTTTAAGTATCATCACTCCCAGTTATCTATTACTTCATCGTTCCTTCATTTCATCACATTATATACTTTGCTATACCAATAGCTACGCTTCATTTACTCTTGCATTTCATATATTATATTTTTCATAAATTGATTGTATCTCCTCTTTTTATGTTGTACAGTTCTTAACTCGTCCTTGTCTTGACTCTTATTAGATATTCATTTCTTTAGTTTGCCTTGAAAAGTGCTCGATATAATTTTTTTTTTATTGTGATGCGCATTTATTCCTCAATCTCGGGATCATAATTTGATCAACTTATTGAAATTTATTTATTTAACGTCTACTTTGCCCCTCTCCTTCTCAGTCTATCTTATTACCAGAAGTGGTCCTCTTCTGCAGGGTGTGTTCATGATGCTGGCCTCGGGACTGGTTCTGAGCAGCGTTATCTTCTGCTTGGAGCTGATGACTGCCAGGTACTACAGTAGCGACGGTAGCAGAAGCAGGACTCCTGCGGACTCCAACCAAAAGGCAGCCAGACACGCCTTCGCCAACAGAAGGGCAGCCTGGAACGCTTCCAATAACAGGACAACTGGTAACGCCTTCGTCAATAGAAGGGCTGCCTGGGGCGCCTCCGACAACAAGACAAAAGGGAACGCATTCCCCAAACAAAGGGGCAGCGTGGGACCCTCCGACAACTGGAACGCCTTCGTAAACGTCAGGAACAAATACCTTCGTCAAAAGAGAGACAGCCGAGGACGTCTTCGCAACAAAAGGGGCGGTCTGGAACCCTTTGTCATGGAATGAACCCGGGTGTCACTTAAAATCAACAGGACCCAAAAACTGCCCAAAATCATTTTGGCGAATCTGGGAGTAACGCTCGTAGATGACCTGAGGTAAAAGAGAAACCAGTAAATTTAACCATATTAGCAACCTAAAACAAGCACCCTTTCATGACTCAAGTCTGAAAAAAATTTCGTTCTGCAAAAAGGACTTAATGAAAGAAGTAAAATGACGAAAAACACTGACCCCAAAAGGGGCCCCCAACTTCATCCTGGTCACAATTGTAATCCATAACAAAAAAATGAGCGGTTAGACAAGAGCTCTTACTTGTAAATAAATTTGGGAACCCTTAATATATCCAGCCACAGGGAGACCCAGAAATCCGAAAATATGAAGACCCCCCCCTTTGCTTAATTTCATTCCAATAGGGTCGAGACCCTTGGAGCATGGGGTAAGTGTGCCTAAACCTCAAAGAGCGGGTAAAAAGCTCATCACAGACCACAGGGCACCAGCTTCCTCTTTCAGAGACTCAGTGTTGCGATCCAGAGGGGGAAATGCCTGCAGCTTTCCCGGGACACGGGGCCCCCACCCCCGGGGGGCTCGAAGCTTTCGGATGAGCTCGTTACCTTGTTTTTTTTTACTTTCGATGTTTTTTTGTGAATGTTTGGCCAATGTATTTTCTTTAAATTAATAATATATATATATATATATTTATATATAAATTTTTTATATATATATATATTTATTAATATTATATATTTCTTTAAATATTAATGTCTACACCCAGACATCAGGGACAGTCGCTTCTTTCATTTGTTTTCTAGTTGTTGTCTCGTGTGTTGACGTATGCGCTCATAAACTGTAGCATAAGGTACAATGCTTGTATTCTGACACATCTGCTGTAACAACCAGCAGACTTACATGGAATGACGTTGTATTTTAATCACTTTATTCACGTCCGTTTAAAAATTAAAAATTATTAAGAAGATTATTACTTAAATTGTCAGTGTACTGATTTTTTTGTCTCTGATGTTACACTCAGTCGTTATTAAGATAATCACTGTACATCACTCTTCTAACACTGTACCTCACTCTCCTAACACTGTACCTCACTCTCCTAACACTGTCTAACTCTTCTAACACTGTACCTCACCTCCAAAAAACCCCGTACTTAACTCTCTAACAACTGACCTCACTCTCCTAACACCGACTTTCATTCTCCAACACTGTACTTAACTCTTCAAAACACTGTACCTCACTCTCCTAACACCGTACTTCATTCTCCTAACACTGTACTTCACTCTTCTAACACTGTACCTCACTCTCCTAACACTGTACTTAACTCTTCTAACACTGTACCTCACTCTCCTAACACCGTACTTAACTCTTCTAACACTGTACCTCACTCTCCTAACACCGTACTTCATTCTCCTAACACTGTTTTAACTTTCTAACACTGTACCCACTCCCCCCCCTAACACTGTCTTAACCTTCTAACACTGTACCTCACTCTCCAAACACCGTATTTTTCCATTCTCCAAACACTGTACTTCACTTTTCTAACTTTTTAAAATTTTCATTAAATTCTCATGAACATTTAAAAAAATATAGCAAGTCCAAAAACCAGTTTATTTAAGTTATACCATCTTTCCTAGACTTTTTTCAAAAAGCGATCATTCCCACGCACGATAAGACAGATCATGTAATGTAAAAATTTTGCAACGCCAGACAAAAAACTTTACTTTTAAATTTCTCTGTTTTTCTTTACCTTCGTACAAGAATAGAAAAATCGACACAGAGAGCGAGGATGAAAATTTGTGTTATACAAAATTCAGAACGTTTCGTATTCGATTTCATATTTGTAATTTTTATTCCAAATTAAAACCCGCATGAGGGGTTTACAGGCATTAACTAATTATTTCCGCAAGTAAATTTGGGGAGGTAGGGGGGACTTTGTCACAGTAGGGCTCGAACTGTCCTCCCTCGATGCCCACTTCATCACCACTCACAAAAAAACTAGACCTACATTTAAATTTAAAATTACAATATTAAAACCAATACTCTGGTAAAATGGGGACACAATATAATTATTGTACATAAATTTTTTAATGTGTTATTTGAACGGAAAAATTTGTATTACCTACAAACCGTGCCGTGGATATAGTTATTAAAAAGGGCAGGGTTTAACATTGAGTCACACCCGACAAATACGTTCAGAAACAGTGAAAGTCTAAAGATTCGCCCGAACTAGTCCGGGGCTAAATTATTAACTTACGGCAAGCAACTAAAAATTTTAAATAAGCCTTTTAGGACTGGGGGTCAGTAAAATCTAGGGAAAAAATATTTCTAATTTTCATGATACTAAGGCTAGGCAGGGGGGATAGACGAGGGAGGGGGCTAGGGCAAAAAACCATGAAAAAAACTAATTGAATCGAGGTGTCAGGAGTACTTTTTCAACTAAAGGGAGATTTGGGAAATTGAATATCTGGGGGGAATGTAAGCAGTCTCCGTGTGAAGTTTTGAGCAGGATGAGTGAGTCCGTCTAACAAGAAACTGTATAACTGAAGGCGGGGAAGATTCGACCCCCCCCCACCACAGCCAGGAAAGTACAATTAGGGAAACACACACACATTCCAGTAAAGGCAGGCCAGGAGCAGCTCGACCCCGCAACCCCTTTTCATCAGTACACACACATTTTCCCGCTTAGTTAACACAATACAGAAAGGGAGTGGGGCGTTATGGACATCTTTGGGGACTGATCAAAAACATTGTTGCCTTGCTTTACAAAAAGCTTAACCTGTCTTCAATTAGCGGGAAAGTTTGAAGGGTTTATTTAAAGTTGACAGTGGGGGCCAACAAAGGGCTCTGGGCTACATTTTTTTTTTGACCGGCAAACCAGTTCTCATCTACTCCCCAATTCATTCCGATTGACGCCCCCCTCACATTTTTCTACTACTACCAAGGGGAGCTGACTCCAGACTTCACAACAACAACAAAAAACTAAAGGGAGTTGTTACATAAGATTATTTACAGTGTCAAGTCAGACTTATTTTATTTATTTTCACTTGTGTACAGGAACGGGAAAAAAAAAATCTACTGTATATATATAAAATATAAATATATATATATATATATATATATATATATATATATATATATATATATATATATATATATATTATTTTTTTATTTTTATTATCACACTGGCCGATTCCCACCAAGGCAGGGTGGCCCGAAAAAGAAAAACTTTCACCATCATTCACTCCATCACTGTCTTGCCAGAAGGGTGCTTTACACTACAGTTTTTAAACTGCAACATTAACACCCCTCCTTCAGAGTGCAGGCACTGTACTTCCCATCTCCAGGACTCAAGTCCGGCCTGCCGGTTTCCTTGAACCCCTTCATAAATGTTACTTTGCTCACACTCCAACAGCACGTCAAGTATTAAAAACCATTGTCTCCATTCACTCCTATCAAACACGCTCACGCATGCCTGCTGGAAGTCCAAGCCCCTCGCACAACAAAACCTCCTTTACCCCCTCCCTCCAACCTTTCCTAGGCCGACCCCTACCCCGCCTTCCTTCCACTACAGACTGATACACTCTTGAAGTCATTCTGTTTCGCTCCATTCTCTTTACATGTCCGAACCACCTCAACAACCCTTCCTCAGCCCTCTGGACAACAGTTTTGGTAATCCTGCACCTCCTCCTAACTTCCAAACTACGAATCTCTGCATTATATTCACACCACACATTGCCCTCAGACATGACATCTCCACTGCCTCCAGCCTTCTCCTCGCTGCAACATTCATCACCCATGCTTCACACCCATATAAGAGCGTTGGTAAAACTATACTCTCATAAATTCCCCTCTTTGCCTCCAAGGACAAAGTTCTTTGTCTCCACAGACTCCTAAGTGCACCACTCACTCTTTTTCCCTCATCAATTCTATGATTCACCTCATCTTTCATAGACCCATCCGCTGACACGTCCACTCCCAAATATCTGAATACATTCACCTCCTCCATACTCTCTCCCTCCAATCTGATATCCAATCTTTCATCACCTAATCTTTTTGTTATACCTCATAACCTTACTCTTTCCTGTATTCACCTTCAATTTTCTTCTTTTGCACACCCTACCAATTCATCCACCAATCTCTGTAACTTCTCTTTCAGAATCTCCCAAGAGCACAGTGTCATCAGCAAAGAGCAGCTGTGACAACTCCCCACTTTGTGTGTGATTCTTTATCTTTTAACTCCACGCCTCTTGCCAAACCCTCGCATTTACTTCTCTTACAACCCATCTAATAATATATTAAACAACCACGGTGACATCACACATCCTTGTCTAAGGCCTACTTTTACTGGGAAAAAAATTCCCTCTTTCCTACATACTCTAACTTGAGCCTCACTATCCTCGTAAAAACTCTTCACTGCTTTTTAGTAACCTACCTCCTACACCATGCACTTGCAACATCTGCCACATTGGCCCCCCTATCCACCCTGTCATAACGCCTTTTCCCAAATCCATAAATGCCACAAAGACCTCTTTAGCCTTATTTAAATACTGTTCACTTATATGTTTCACTGTAAAACACCTGGTCCACACACCCCCACATTTCCTAAAGCCTCCTTGTTCATCTGCTATCCTATTCTCCGTCCTTTAAATCTTTAAATTTTTTCAATTATAACTCTACCCTACAACTTTACCAGGTACACTCAACAACTTATCCCCCTATAATTTTTGCACTCTCTTTTATCCCCTTTTTCCTTTTTACCAAAGGAACTATGCATGCTCTTCCTGCCAAAACCCCTAGGTAAGATAAAGATAAGATAAGATAAGATTTCGTTCGGATTTTTAACCCCGGAGGGGTTTGCCACCCAGGATAACCCAAGAAAGTCAGTGCGTCATCGAGGACTGTCTAACTTATTTCCATTGGGGGCCTTAATCTTGTCCCCCAGGATGCGACCCACACCAGTCGACTAACACCCAGGTACCTATTTGCTGCTTTGTGAACAGGAC